TAAAAATTATCTTCCTCTAGTTGAGTTCTGATCATCAATCCATTGAGGCTAGGTCAAATGGGTACTATCTGCAATTATGGGCATTCTTGTTTGTTGCCCCTCACTTCATATCAGTTGGATGCTTCACTCTCAGCTCTGTGGCTATGTCCTTGTCAATGGTGCTCAGGAGTCTGCAGGTCTCACCACACTTCAGACCAACCAGTCCTTCCCCTTTCCTCATTTCCAGGTCAATGGGAGTCTATGGAACGTGGTTGAACTCAGTCCATTTCTTCATTGCTGCCTTTCTCCCACTTCCACTCACCAGTCGACCAGTGTGGTCACCAGCAAGCTTACATGTCTGCTCATGTGTTCCCTTTAAGTTTCAGACTTAGAGGGGGGTTTGTCCTGAAGGAACTTGATTGCTTGCCTTGATGACTTCCTGGTGAACATCTTGCTTGTTCTTGTAGTAGCCAGTCATACTGCCATTTTTGTTTTGGATTTTTCCTGCTGATTTTTCTTTGAAGATATATCTTCTGTTGCTCTAGCTGTTCCAGGCTAGTGTCCTTTCTAGTGGGAATGTCCTACCTCAGAAGGTTCTGGATGGGACTCAGGATTCTACCTAAGGTCCTATGCACTACAAAAGCACTGCAAGAAGTCTCTTTCACTGGACAAGTTCTAGAACCTCTCTTAGATATTCCAATCAGTTATAGGCTGAAGATGGGCTTACAAGTTTTCTGTAATCATGTTTCCTGACTTTCCTTTCTATCCCGCTCAAGTGTCTATTTTACAATAGTAAGGAAGATTAACCAATATTCATGAAACAGTCAAGCATCTTAGTATTATTGCCGCTTTGCACACTATGCCTCGATCCCTGTATCACAGAGTCCTGTTGTTCCAAGGTTAAGCATGCATCACTGTTTACCTCTATCCCATTTAGTTCATGCAAACCTGTCTCAGTGTTCCCTTATCTACCTTGTTCTTCCACCCCTCCTCCTTATTGTGTATTGCCATCACCAACACCCAAACTATGATGTGTTTACACCTTACCCTGTGCTCTACCATTGCCTCTCTCCACCTTCCCCACCCCCACCACTGGTAACTAGCAAATAATTCCACCCCCCTTTTAGTATGGGTATCTTTTCTCAAGCTTTTACAATAATAGTCTT